GGGGCGGGGGCGGTGGCTGGGAGGGAGCCTCCTGGCCGCCGGCCAAGGGTTTGTTCTGCTCTGGGTTGGCCGGGACTTGCGCTGTGCCGGGTCTAGACACATCCCCAAGGTTCTGGCAGCAGAGGGCTGGCTGGGAGTGCCCGCAGGGAGCAAAGACAGTGAGAAAGCGCTTCACCCGCGCTGGGCAGATATTTTGAACCCTAGGCGACATTTCCTCACCTACAAACCACTGAGAGGCGTCCTGAGGAGAGCGAATGTTTTTGCAGTGCATCATCTCAATAGGGGTGGGGAGTGGAGGAAGCTGATTTGCTAGCAGAGATGCCCAATATAGCGACCCGAGCTTCAGAAAGAATTCTACTCTGTTCTAAGACGTTTCTTCCGTCGCCCACCTTCTATCGCTGACTAAGACACAACTCTCTCTCAGTTTCACAGAGAAAGGGATTAAAAAAAAATGGCTCGGAGCCTTTAGGTGCATTTCACATCTAAACACAAGGAAGGAATCTGTGAGGGTGCCTGTGTGATGTGCTTTTGGTGACATCGGTTTACATTTAGGCGGTGTGGATGGAAACTTGGAGAAAGCCGGCATGCAGAATTTAATGTTTCCTGACTGCTTCTGAAATGATTTGAAATAAATGAAAATATGACATTTTGCTATAATTTTATCACTGATCTTTTCTGAAACAAAAGAAATTCATGCCAACAGGTCATGTCATAGTTACAAAATACACAAAATATATACAATTGTAGAAGTATTTCATTAAGCTGCAAGTTTACCAGAGATAATTTCTTTTAATGTACTTGGCTGTGAGCTAGGGGAGACTTGACTTTTCTAATTGATTAGAATTTTTAAAAATTGTTAGAGTTTAAAATGTTTTATCTGTTCCTGAATTTGGGGCTTCTCTCTTTAACTTACTGTAAAGTAGCATGAGATGAATTAAACAATAATCGGTCATTTTTACTTTGGGACTATATAAGTCAGGAAATTCTTGACTTATTAATCCAAAAATAAAAAGAATTTTTTTAACCTAAGTTTCCATATTCAATCAAAAGTCAAATTATGACACAAAATAAAAAAGCTGGAAATATATTTAAAGGAGCACGTGTTACATTAAAAATACTGGCAGTATTTCCCAGAAAAGGGAATCTGGGGAGGGCACAAAAAGAGGGAGTAAAGAGGAAATAGAGGATGGAATCCTTAGAGCTTATTACCTAATTTTAGAGAAGACATGGAATTATAATGGAGAAATGCAAAAGACCACCTTTTCTTTATAGGAAAAAGGCAATGTACTTTTTGAAAAAAAAGGTCAGTTTCAACTACATGGCAGGGAAAAATGTCACATGTCGACGTGACTTTAATTATGCTGGTTAATCATCATTATAATACTAAAGATCTTCCAAAGTTTGGCTTTTCTTAATTTACTTCTGCCAAACTTCGTTTCTAAAATATTTGAACAAATTTTGTGTTAACAAACCTAATATTCTAGAAAAGGGTGGCGAACCTAATATTCTAGAAAAGGGTGGCGTCGGGTTCAGTGTGTTGTGTAGTGCTCGGTTTACCTCTAATACTTACTAAAAGATTGTTGTTCCTCTAACTCTTCCAAAAAGTTGGCTGCAAAGTGGTTGGGGCTGTGTTCTATGGAAAAATGTAGAAACCGTTTCCCATCTATTGTTTTTCAGTCTTCAGCTGTGATGAATAATCTTGACGGTGAAAAAAGTCAACAGGAACAGTGAGAAAGCATGTCCTGCATTCCAGCAAGGAAAGGACTTTCTGAGGAGACCTGTGAGTGAATGCTTAACTAGTTCTCAAAGGAGGCAAAGCAACCTGGCTGGGAAGTCCATGTCCAAGTCGAATTAACAGCAGCACATGAAATCATAATGATCAGTGAAGCATTGTCAATGACAAAATGAATTCCTAATGAGAAGAAAAACCACAAACCTTTTAACCTGCCTTGACAAGAAGCTGGCACCAAAGAGAAACAGATCTTATTCTGGTTATAATGGCTGAGAATTGGCTCAAACTTTGTGAGAAATGAAGAGAAAATGAAGAACATTGTTAGCATAGTATAAGAATTGAATAGGTGATATAAGGAAACAAAATATCTTTTCTTCGATACCCACACAGATAACTTTAGGCTTAGAGGCAAGTTAATAACTTTCTCCAAATCATTTACTAAAAATAAAATGAGTAAATGGCGACTCATTTGCTCTTTTTTTTTTTTTTGAGAAGCAGTGTTAAAGGTCAGCCAGCTCATGTATTATATGTTACTAAAAATACAGAGCTAAAAGGGACACAGATCGTGCAAACCAGCCATCTTAGATGTGAAAACTGAAGTTGAAATGCATGAAAATAGTTTATTCTTTAGGGATTTTGTAGATATAATGAAACATTGTAAAGCTGATAAACAACTGTAGCACCTGTTAACCACTTGTGAGACATGGGATTCCTAAGTGATCTAGGGAGGGCCTGCTCATAGCAAGATTGTGAAGCTATTTGCCTTTTGTGTTCTCTCATCCCCTTCTCAAGGATCCCTTACCCCATGGCACAGCTTCCTCTTCCCATTCCCACCACCCCAGGCCCTCTTCATATCTCAGGTGGCTCCATCTAATTAACACTTTAGGATTAGGAATCTAAGGTTCGATCACTTACAATGATAATTAAGATTTTAAGAAGCAGGCATCTTTCCAACATTTCCCAACACTCGAAGCCTGAGACTAGCCAAATGTGCCTTTGTTGAGTAGTTCAGAAAAGGGATTATAGCTTGGATCATATCTAAGGTTATTACTAGGTGTGATATAAAAAAATCAATAACCAGTATGAAAGAGCCATCCAGCAGTCATTCCAGACTTGGGTCACAGCTCTGAAGCTGCACCTTAGAGTCTTGCTGGCTAGTTGCTGGCTCAATGGGAGGGTGAGGGCCCTTAGGAGAAAAGGGCAAGCGGGGAGGGGGTGCACTTCAGAGAGCGACTATTTATATGCAAGGACACAAATGTCAATAATTTTACAATCTGTGTGTTCAGCTGTATATTTACCCTGATTATCACCATCACCATCTCACACACCTTCCACCATTCACCCCCATTCACCAAATTCCATTCAAGCCTTCTTCCCATACCTGCTATACTTCTTCCATATTTTCCATTTTATACATGGAAAGATACTGCTTTCCAGAAGAAAGCTTGCCTCTTCGCCTGATCCCTTCTTCCTTCTGTTCTGGCTTGAAGTCCCTGCTGGAATCTTCCTCAGTTTGAGTCTTTCCATTTTGAGTATTTTAAATAATTTTAAAAATATATTTTCTTAAAAAAGAAAATAACTATTTCTATATTTTAAAAATCTTTCTGACCAAGGTGGATGAGAAAGTATTGTTTTCATGGTGTTTCTTCAAATTAGCTTCACTTTTTAAATTTGCAAATGAAAAACGTTATTTGACATCTATCCAATAGATGTGCAGTGAACATTTAAGGAGGTGATACATGTAAAGCACTGATACCTAGCTCTAACATATATGGGATTAAGGGTATAAATTTTAGTCCACAGATTCAAGGGTGGAATAAATGTATTTTAGTTTAAAGTATTTTTATTGTAAAATAGTTCGCCATTCATGATACAGCAAACAGTATAATGAACACCATCAAGTCTGATCAAATAATATCATTTTTCTTTATTCATTTCAGATTTTTTTAAAAGTAGAAAACATTACAAATACTATTGAAGTCCCTTGTGAGATATAACTTTCTGTAACTGAACTTAATTTCTTTTATAAATCCCTGTTGCTTCAGGTAGCAGAATCTTCCTCTCAGTCAATTCCTAGTTTTTTCCATTTTGTTGGGGTTGCAGCTACATTCCAGAGGCTTATGAATTGCCAAGGAATCTCAGGGTGGGTCTATGGAGAGGCTCTTCCTTAGCTGCACATCTCGAATCTGCTGATAGGTATATATTTCTATCTGTCCTCAGTCATTGGTCCATTTAAGACACTGCTACAATGCCCTTCATGCTCATTCTCATTCCACATGACCTCAAGCCTAGAGGCCCTTTTTAATTTTTTTTAAGGCCTACAGCACCTGATATTCCAAGGTGGTCTCCCATCCAGGTACTAACCAGGCCTGACCCTGCTTAGCTTCCGAGATCAGAAGAGATCAGGCACTTCAGGGTAGCATGGCCATAGACGAGACACTTTTTGCTACTTCTGTTCTTCTTTTGGCGCTCTGTGCAAGTCTGATGAATCTGAGTGGGCAGGCAGGACACAGCATCATGGAGCCTCCCATGATGAGTGAGGTGCAGAGACAGAGCAAATGCTGTGCCATTGCGCAGAGAAACTCTAGGAGGCTGCTACTTCCGTGGACCTTACCTAAAAGCAAGCAGCACATGTCTCTCTGCTCTTAGATCCTCCTAACTTACCTGGGGCTGTACTAGGGACACATGTGTCAAAAATTACTTTTGCTTATTTCCCAATTTCCTCTTCCTTGAGCAGGAAGCCTTGCACATCCGTCACCCAACAACGTTTTTTTTTTTTTTTCTTATGCCCTCAATTCCCCCAGGACTAAGGCTTTTGGAATAATAATAATAAAAAAATTCTTATCTTTGCTTTTCTGATGTAATAAACTTTCCCTAGACATGGGGATGGGTGGAGCAGGGGAAGGCTCCAGGGGCATCCAGAAAAGAACGTTAGTGAAAACATTTCTGA